CACACACACACACACACACACACACACACACACACACACACACACACACACACACTACCTTCGAGTCACATACGGTAAAGTACGCGGTGTCCTGACACGGAAACACAAACAAACTTTTTGTTTCGTTCAGGTATTTCCTAACAAGTTATATTGAGTAATTGTGTCATCGCCATCACAGCTGGATAATAATAATAAAAAAGTGTTCCTTTTAAACACATTCATTGTATCTAAATGAGCAAAACTGTTATTTTACAGCAGGAACGAAATGTTCAAAAGTTTCAGCCGACGGGTAAATGGAACAAAAAACTGTTGGGAGCCTTTAGCAATACATGATAAAAGTTGCCCACCGTTTCCCTGGAAGGCAAAGAAAATCTCACAGGAATGTCTGAACAGTGATTAGTCCTTCTGAACTCAAACTGTAATCCTTCCAAAGAAAGAAAAGGAAAAAAAATAATTAAAAAAATAACATTTTCTGTGCTGAAAATACAGTCTTGGAAAAGAAAAAACGCTTGAGAACACTGATGTTTTTTAAAATTCAGTGAGCATTTCTGATTTGCAGTGGAAGCGTGTAATGTCTGGATTATTAAAAGTCAAATCTTTAAATCTTTATTATCCTCGTTGAGTTTTAACCAGGATTTAAGTCGCATTTGTTCCTCGCAAGTAGGAAGTCGGTTATCTTTAACTGTTTGCAAACAAAGCTTGATAAGATAAGATGTACAATATATAAAAACTTTATAGCCTAAAGATTTCACCTTTACACACACAAATGTACAAAAACTTATAATTAAACCACCGTTAAGCTGCTATTTTTAGAGTTTTATAAAAAACATACAATCCACAGAAGAACACATTATTTGAATCAAATGTTGCAAAATCAACTGCAATAAAAAAAGCAATGAAGACAGATGCTTTAATGTTTGTTTGTTTTTTGTGTGTGTATTTTGACCAAAATGTGTCACAGAGTTGCTTAAAACACATTGTAAATCTAAAGTAATGCCAGGAAACTCGTTAAAAAAAGTGACTATATGAAGAAGGGGAAATCCCAGCAGTTTGCCTCAAGCAAAAAGACAGTGAGGGATCCGGTTCATGCTGATAATAATGTCAGTACAAGAGAAGCAAAATAAATACATAAAAAACGATAAATTAATTAACGCAGACAGAGGAAGAATATGTCTTTTATTAGCTTTTTAGCTAAATCAACCGAACAAAAGGAACGCTTCTTCTTTGGCAATTATATTCATCCGAAAAGACATTTTCTACCAGAACAAATGAGTTTCTCTACATTTCATCCACACTTAGTTCATTATGGTAGTCAATCAAACTTGACTGACAGGAGTCTTTGAGCAACAAAAAACTGTCAAAATGGCAGCAGGGAAACCAGGTCCACTCAAGAGCTTTCAAAGAGAAAAGTTAAAAGTTGTGCCGATGATCAGGTTCTATGGTTCACACAACTGTTGTCTTCAACGGTGAGGTCAACAACACGAGGCTAACGTCCCACGCTCATAATTTACTATCTGGTTTACAACTTTACAAAGACAAACAATAAAACATAGAGTCAAAAGGAAAGTAAAAGCTGGGATAACTGAGCGTTTTGGATAAGCGTGACGGATGATTTTATGAATGGGTGTGTCTCTTGTTTATAGTGAGCTTTCATTTTCTCTCTTTCATCTCTTTCAGTTCTCCTTTCGGTGCTCGGTTTGCAGAAGCATCGCAACCACAATCTACTTTGGTCGTTACTAAAAGCACAGAGTTGTGTCAGCAGTTCTCGGTTTAAAGGGTCAGCATAAAGGGTCAGCATGCGTGACAAACACACAATTTCTGCTTACAAAATGACTTTACAAATAGTTACTACTGGTCTTTGTTATTACTGTAAGAACTGTAACAAGCTTTTGGACTCAACTTTAGATTTCATCCAGGGGCGCTCCCAGGAATATTTTAAGGGGGATGGTGGGCACTGAAAACCCTGGGGTGGTCCATCAAAACAAAAACTAAATTTATATTTGTTAAAACTATTATACGTTTAACCTTCTGAGACCCTGCTTCCTAATGTTGAGGTTTGTTTTAAACAGGGTGTCCGTTTTCAGGGGAAGTAGATTTTAATTTTCAACTTTTATTTTTAAGAAAAAACAAAATAGACATTATTAAAGTCCTAATTGCTAAAAGAAACTTTTGTTTTTATGTTTATGATCCAACAAACTAAGGGAAATTAAAATGCACATCAAGCAAACACTCGGGACCTAAGAAATTAAATATGTTTGACCAATGGGATGCAATGGGGGGTGTCACTGAAAATCCTGGGAGTGGTCCACCAAAACAAAAGCAAACAAAAAAAAGCCAAAAATTTCTAAATTAATATTTTATTTAAGACTCTGCTTCCTATTGTTGAGGATATTCATTTTGAACCAGTTGTCCTTTTTCAGGGAGACAATATTTTAAGTTTTATTTTTGATTAAAATATATCTAAGTTAACATTTTTAGTCCTAATTGCTCAAAAACCTTTGTTTTTTGTTTGTGAAGTTTCACTAATTTGAAAAAAACTAGGTGAAATTAAAATGCACACCAACCTAAAGTTCAGGATAAAACTGTCTGGTCAATGGGGGCCATGGGGTGGCCACTGAAAATTGTGGGGTCCCACCAAAACCAAAAAACTAAACCAAAAACACCTGAATTTATATTTATTAAAACTCTTACATGTTTAACTTTCTAAGACTGCTTCCTAACATTAAGGACACTGGTTTTAAGCCACCAAGAACAAGCTTGGGAATTAAGAGAATAAAACTGTCTGACCAAGTGGGGCTAGTGTTTTTTAGGAATAGCCATTGCCCCTCTTCACCTTGCCTGCTGATGTCTTTGTCCCTATCTGCACACACTGTCGTTGTACAGATTGTCTGTTAATTACACAGATTTTCCACCAACGTATAGAGAAAATCTTGTGTACTTAAAAAATAGTTTCACATTTCCAAAAACTAAACTGATAAAAGGTTTGGAGACAAGATCTAGACGCTTGTGACTATTTTGAGAGGAAACCTTTGAAAAACCCTGAGGTATTTTAAGATGTTTCTGGGACTTCCTCTCGAATGCCATTTAAAAAAGTTGCATTTGTTTTAATATGCACTACTTTTAACGTTAAGTTTCTGCACTGATCAGCGGAGAATAGCTTTCGAGTTCCCACGCACTCGTTTTAAGATAAACAGGCTTCTACAAATTGCCATGTTTCAGTTCTCCTTTGGGGTCTTAGGTTTTGGCGACTCATCTACTCCCTGATTCTTGTGGTTTCTGGCGCAGCACTCAGGAAAAGTCTTAGAGAAAGGTGTCTGTATCTCCTGGCTGTGGTTTTAATTACAGCACCCATGAGGCTTATTGTGATTACTGTATGTGGGTGTAACATTACGTGGTATTCTTCATTCTTTGGTTTTATGGCCCTATAAGAGCCTCTCTTGGGTATAATAAAGACGTACCTGACTCACTTTGACATGAACCTGTGCTTTTCCGATTTTCAAAGTCTTATTTTCTAATTTTGTTCTTTTTCAGGAGCTCCAGCGTCTAGAGCAATCAAACTCCGCTCTGCAGAAGGAGATTGCTGCATTGAAGAAAGACCTCCACTTCTATGAGACTTCCCTGGAGAGTCACAAACCTTACTGCCGCCTCAAGGACTCTGGCTCATCCTCAATCGACTCTAAACCCAGTCCCGGCCTTCATCAGGCCATGAAGTCCTCTTCGTCATCACTTTCTACCTCCATGAAGTCCACAATGAGATTTCAAACCTTAAGCTGTATGAAACAGACTCATCCTAAATCTGCAGCTACAACAAAACCAACACGTGCCATCTCCTCCTCACCTTCCTCCTCCTCCTCATCATCTGTACCATATTCAGACTCTTTCTCGACACAACCAGCGCCTCACTCCTTGTTTTGTGAACCGCCTCAAATCCCGTTCACAAACGCCACGCCCATCTGTTCCAGTCTCGTTTCAAATCCTCATCCCTCCTCCGCAACTCGGCTCCCGTCTGACGCCATCCATAAAAATCCTCCGGCGTCGGAAACGTCTTGCTTCACCAGGGAAACATTTTCAATGAAGCTAGATTCTTCTTTTCCTGCTTCGTCTAAAATGCAGCCTCTCTTGTCCCATCCGGGAACAGAGAACACGACCGTAGCAAAGCAGTTTGGTTCCATTAACGTGCCCCAGATTTATTCGTGTCAGTTTGGCACTAACTTAACCAGTTTGCCGTCACGACCTCCTCCCCAGTACCCCGGTCCTCGGACTCTACCAGTTTCAACCCAGGCTAGTTTGATCCCTTCTTCAGGCTCTCCTTACCAACACCACGCTTCATCCAGTCCTGGGTCTCTGCTTTCGCTGCTCACCGTCCCCAGTCCTCTTACCGTCTCTCAAACTACCTCCAGCGGCTTTAACAGAATCACAGCCCAACCAACTCAATCGCTCCCACCTTTACCAGATCCATCCAAAGACTACTCTCTTTCTGAGCTTCTAGAAATTAACGACTGGATCCTGAGTGGGGTTAATTATCCATAGCTTCAAAGAACAAGTATTTACTTTATAAACTGCATAGTCTGAGTTAACTGTTTTATTAACAAAGATCTAAATTTAACCTAGTATCAAAATTAGGATTACTATTTTTCATGAATTCTATTGAATATATGGGCATAACTTGCATCTGATCAAAAGTTACTAGCAAGTCACTAGTTAGCAGTGGTGGGCATAACTACCAAAGTTTTAGCATCACTACCTCATAATCTATAAAAATATAGCTTTGCTATTGTTAGAATGTTAAACATGTAAAAAAAAGCAATAAATAAATTGCAAACCTGTTGAAGATGGTTTGTTATTAGCGGACTTAAGTTGGTGGAACAAAACTGAGTAGAAACTAATTGGTATGCTAATGGTTTTCCATCCATCCATCCATCCATCCATCCATCCATCCATCCATCCATCCATCCATCCATCCATCCATCCATTTTCTTCTGCCTATCCGGGGTCGGGTCGCGGGGGCAGCAGCTTCAGAAGGGAGGCCCAGACCTCCCTCTCCCCAGCCACTTCTTCCAGCTCCTCCGGGGGAACTCCAAGGCGTTCCCAGGCCAGCCGAGAGACATAGTCCCTCCAGCGTGTCCTGGGTCTTCCTCGGGGCCTCCTCCCGGTGGGACGTGCCCGGAACACCTCACCAGGGAGGCCTCCAGGAGGCATCCTTACCAGATGCCCGAGCCACCTCAACTGGCTCCTCTCGACGTGGAGGAGCAGCGGCTCTACTCTGAGTCCCTCCCGGRTGACCGAGCTTCTCACCCTMTCTCTAAGGGAGAGCCCAGCCACCCTGCGGAGGAAACYCATTTCGGCCGCTTGTTTCCGGGACCTCGTTCTTTCGGTCATGACCCAAAGCTCATGACCATAGATGAGGGTAGGAACGTAGATCGACYGGTAAATCGAGAGCTTCGCTTATGCTTATGCTTATCCATTTTATGCCAGTTTTCAATGTCAAAATGCAAAAACTAATGCACTAAGCCAAAAATTTGTTCGCTATTAGCTGTTTACTAATTAGCGGAACCATGTCAGTCACTTTATAAAGTATCTAATTAGATTTTTTTAATTACTTTTCTAAATTGAATCCGACTCACTTCAAATTAAAACATTGTCATTTATAGTGGGTACAGCTAACCAAAACTACAGCTAACAAAAACGATAACTTTGCTAACTTATAATCAGCTAACTAAAAATAAAGCTTCACTAATGCTAAACTGCTAAACAGCTAAAAGAAATTAGCGGAAGCTAACCATAAATAAAGTTAAAATTCACAAAAGCTAACTAACAGCTAATTGCTAACTGCTACAAGAACTGTCAGTGTGTGTCTCACGTCTTAGTCTCCTTGAAGCTGAAGACTGGTGGGATTGACACAAACCTGTTCATGTTAGTTTGTTAGTTAGTTGTTAGCAGACTTAAAGTTGGCAAAACCTGATTTAGCGGAAGCTAAATGGATGGCTATTGGTTTCAAAGTCAATGAAAATTAGTTCTGCGATTAGCTGTTAGCTGATTAGTGGAACCATTCCTACCACTGCTATTTAGTAGCTTTGATATTAGCAAGTGACTTGCTAGCAAGTACTTAGCAGGCGTTTAGCAAACATTTTGTTTTCTGTGATTTTTTGACACTTAAATCACTCTTTTAGTGAATATAAGAAAGTACGGCTCCATGGAAGTTAAACATGACAATGAGGGATGACTCAAGACTGTTGCAGATTACTGTGTATGAATGTTGCATTATTTTACAGGAATAACAGGATGAAACCATTCATGGTTTAAACAGTATTACTGAACTTTAGTGCTTTAGAGTTTAATGTTATACACATCGAAACAGGCAGAAAATGTAAAACTAAAGCAATAAAAGAAAAACAAGACTTTGTTACTAGTATGCTATAAATGCCTAAACAACCAATAAAGTTTTAGTTTGTATTTGCAGCACTTATCTGTAAAATCTAACAAAATAACTGAAGCCAGGTGAAAATAAATCCTGATCATCACACCAGTTTTTGTCCCTTTAAAGGCCCATCAGAGGTCTGAGGTCCAAGACAGTTTCCTTGATTATTTCACTCGAGGTGACCCCTACATGAGCATTTTAACAAATTTGATGTTTTTTTTCTCTAGGTTCACAAAAAATGTCCAAATGACAAACGAACAGACAAACCCTCAGAAATATGCTGAGGTTTCAGAAATCGTTGCTTACTTACTTATTTATTTCCTTACTTAGTCAGTCACTTACTTATTTACTTAGTTAGCTACTTACTTACCTAGTTAGTCACTTAGTCACTTACTTAGTCACTTAGTTAGTTGCTTACTTACTTATTTATGAAAATAAAAAGAGTAGTCTCTTTCTTAATAAAACTTTTACGTACTTTTGCACAGGATGCTTAAGAAAAAACTCAGACTCAACAAACCCTTTTGTCTCTTTAACAGTGGGTGGGGTGGGTTCTAACTTCCTTGCAGCTTCATGGAAATGTCAAACTAAACGTGGAGCTGCAGTTTGAAGATGTGACGATGCCTGCTGAGAATCGGCTGCAGAATACAGTTCAACTTTTTAATTTTATTTTCAATCAAAGACTACAGAGAACAGCCTCGGAACTCTGCTGCTTTATTATTTATTGATTTGTTGCTACATCAAATGATTATTATTTTGTACTGCTTTAAAATTTACTGTACTTTTATTGGTTTGTGTTATTTATGTTGAGTAGAAATAAAAGGAATAATACATTTGAGGATGAACATATATTGGTGCAAAATATTTTATTCAAATGGGTTTTTTGTAGCGAGGACTAAAATAAAAACAGCATTCTGTTGTTATAATTTAAGCTTTATTTTGAAAGATTGCTGAGGAGCTCATGATCTATTGACATCCTTCGTTTCTGACCATATAAACCATAAAGTTGTATAACATATATAATAATAAAACTTTATTTATACTTATTTAATATTTCCTTCCACTGTATTTTTCTGTCTCAGATGAGAACAAAAAGGCTGCTGAAATATGACAAAAACAAAATTTATTGGTTTTTATCCCTTCAAATTAGGGAATGTGTCTTTTTGCACCATTGTGTCAAGACGGCCATTTTGAATTTCCAGATGATTTCTATAAACGATAGAAGGAAAATGTCTAATATCTGTAAATATGTGAGCTTAAGATTCAGTGTGAGGTTTTGGGTGTGTGTGAGTGTTTATATGTGGTAACATTGGTTGCTTCAGCAAAGTGGAAAATAAATGTGTTAAACAAATGCCCACCTTGGCCACGCCTCTGGCTCCGCCTCTTTTTCTGAGTCTACTTCTATGGTGTCTGTCATTTTAAACCTAAGGGATGATTTGATCAGAAAGTGACGCACAACCTCGGAGTTCAGCTTAATTAGCTCTGGGTTTCTCTGGATTCCATCCAATCAACATGGGGTTGCATTTCCTCTTGCGTCCACACCTTGTGAGGTTGCTTACAGCCACGTGAACCATGTACTTTATAATAATGTTAACAACGTTGATCAGAAGATTGTTCTTAGAGAAGAGCTTGGAGCTTTTATTTTTTTAACGTGGAAATCTAAAATCTTAACTCGTAGGTTTTCTCTGCGGATTGTGATCAACATAACGGAACCAAATTACCCCTGTTTGCGCCCTTTATGAAGGCCGAGTGATAAAATGCTTGAAGGCAAACTTATCACTTATAATATCCTGATGCATCTCAGTAATCCAGGTAAAAAAATCAAAAAGAAAAAAATTGTATATGTCCTCTGGACGGGTTCTTCTCTAATAAAACGTTTCGTCTCTCCTCCAAGAGACTTCTTCAGTCTGAGAGTTTCAGGCAAAATTCAGGCTTTTAAGCCCTGCCTCCATGTGACTGATACTCACATCACATGGCTATCGTTGACACCTAATTAACACCTATTGTTAACAGGGGGTGGAGTGATACTGGCAATAGCAGCGCTGTAGGAGGGGGACAACTGAAAACGGAGGCCTCCACCTCTGTTTAATGATGGACGGTCTTTCTTCACAAAAATGGCTTCTTTTACTCCTCTCTCAAACCAACGTTCCTCTCTATCAAGAATGAGAACATCCTCATCTCTGAAAGAGTGACCGCTGGCCTGTAAATGAGTGAAAACTGCAGAGTTCTGGCCATTAGATGTAGCTCGTCTGTGTTCGTAGCTCATCTGTGCTACATCTAATGGCCAGAACTCTGCAGTTTTCACTCATTTACAGGCCAGCGGTCACTCTTTCAGAGATGAGGATGGTCTCATTCTTGATAGAGAGGAACGTTGGTTTGAGAGAGGAGTAAAAGAAGCCATTTTTGTGAAGAAAGACCGTCCATCATTAAACAGAGGTGGAGGCCTCCGTTTTCAGTTGTCCCCCTCCTACAGCGCTGCTATTGCCAGTATCACTCCACCCCTGTTAACAATAGGTGTTAATTAGGTGTCAACGATAGCCATGTGATGTGAGTATCAGTCACGTGGAGGCAGGGCTTAAAAGCCTGAATTTTGCCTGAAACTCTCAGACTGAAGAAGTCTCTTGGAGGAGAGACGAAACGTTTCATTAGAGAAGAACCCGTCCAGAAGACCTATACAATTTTTTCTTTTTATTATCACTTATAATGCAAAGATTAATCGTGATTTTAAGGGTATCAAAAACATCTTTGTAATATTTTAAAGCATTTACTTATATTTGCAGGGCTTTTATTTTTCTATCTCATTATGAGACAACTGCTTTCAACTGGATCATAAAGCTGTAAACAAATTTCATCGCTAACTTTTCATTTAGCGCCATCATCAGGACAAACAGAAAAGGTTTCAATCAACTAAATATTAATTATCACACCAAAACATGAACTATTTATTTATTTATTTATTTATTTATTTATTTATTTATTTATTTATTTTACATTGCAGCTAATGTTATAATATTATTATTATTTTAAGGCAGAAGTTTGTTTCTGGCGCTTAAAAGAACCACCTGAGCAGGTGAGATCAGAGGGTCAGAGAAGAACAATAGGATCAGGTTGATACTGTTGGGAAAACTGGTGTGTGTGTG